TACGGAATTTCAAAAAACGTATACAAAACTTATTTATAATAATGAAAAAACGTATGCAAATTTTTTATAGGGATATAGAACTCTTTTGAGATAATGCAGCTCATTGACTAGTTTGACCAAACTATGGTTGTTTATTATTAAAGGTTAGTGCTAATTTAGTTAGGTATAAATTTCCCTAATGTTTAAACTGATGATAGTATAGACAGGATCCAATAAGTGAAGTGTTACAATTCTTAGTTATGTGTCCTCTTCATTTACAAGTAAAGTATCAGTTTTTATTCTGAAAAATATTATTTCTATTATTATTCTATTGGAAATTATTTTGATTCCCATTTTGATTATTTTGTACTCTACAATTCTTAGCAATATGTTCAGGTCAATTACAGTTGTAACATATTTAATCACTACTATTAATACTATTTTTTCAATTATTATTATTATATATATGATTATTATTATTATTAGCATATGGATTAGTTGTAGTAGTAGTTAACAATTGCTTAAATTTCTTCATCAATTTTTCATTATTTTCCTTAATTAACTGTTACATGTTAGGGGTTTTTCTTATTCAGTTTCTTCATTATGTTGGTTCAAGTAGGTTTTATTAAAAGAATATTCTGAGAGAACACTATTCTTAAAAAGAACAACTTTAACAGTTTAAGTTTAATCAATTACTTTCTTTAAGTTACGAGATATGGCAGTAGCTACTACGCTCAAAAATTCAGGTTGAAGTTCTTGTAAGAATTGCTCAATTTTCTCATTCTCTGGTGTATTATAATCAGGATCAAGTTTGAGATATAATAATTCAATATCAGCGACATAGTCTTCTACAGATTGTCTAGTGTGTTATGTATATTATCTAAGTGCAGAACGCTATTGTGTCCTTCTATGAATTATACAATAATGCTTTAAAAAGTAATAGAAAAAAGATCAATGCTTATATTATCAATCGTTAGAATTATTCCAGTACTGCAAATCTTTTTATTTTTGATTTTATTGTATCAAGTAAGGAATTAATATAAGATGTCACTTATCTGAAATTCTATTTACATCTCTAGCATGATTATATCTTTCTAACTATTCTCAAGGGTCTTAATCTCCTCCTTTAAAGGTTGATAAATCTACGAATTTAGCTTCTCATGATCTACCAAATCTAACAGTTTTGAAGACAGTTTGGAGGACTTTTATCATTTGAAAGAAATTTCATTCATTTTAGTCCTTAGCATTAGCTGCATCAAATGGATCTTTATTATCATCATCTGAGTCGTGATTTTTAGAGTTAGAACTGAAGGAAGATGAAGAACTATCATAATAGAAAGAAGAAAGACAGCTTTTCTGTTTACTAACTCCTTTATTTTTAAATCTTTTATTTTGACCTTGTAAACGACTAATTCTCTGTTTTGAGAAACATAAAGGATTAGTATCCTTTTGGTTAGAGGTTACCTCTTTTTTATCTAAGGATCTTGTGAAGGCTAGTTTAGGTAGTTTTTCTGTCTTCTCGTAAGAGCTAAAAGTCAATTTGTCAAAACTCAAAGTTCGTTTACTAGGGTTTCTCTCACTAAGAGTAGTATTAGCTATTATGGTCTTATCAGGTGGGTAATTCCCTTGGAAAGAGAGGTTTTCTTCAATCAATTTAGAAGTAACACTACTTTAGAGAGTTATTTTAAAAGGTTCAGTTATTCTAGAAGGAGAAGAGTTACAACTTAGATTTACGAGTGATATATTGAGATAAGTAAATAAATCGCCTTGAAATTTCTTTTGGAATGAGTTAGTTTTAGTTTGAGCTCGAATACAATATTCAACTACTCACTCAAAAATTAATATTGATATGTTCTTATATCTAAAAGTATTAAGTGTCTGATTGTAATAGACCCTTTGTATGCAAGTAGTTTTTACAGCAATTGCAATCTAAAAGGCTTTTAAACTTTTGTTAGTGTATAATGATGTTTCTAAGACTTTTTATACCCACTCAAAGAAATTGAGAAAAGGTTGTGAGATCTCTTTAAGGGGTGGATTACAAGCGATATAAAATAGGTCGTCTATTAAGGTAAAATTACCAGTTAATTTTCTAAAATTATACTCTTATTTATTGTGTACAGCTGAATAGTTTCGTTGATATTTTATTAATTTTCTAAAGTTATTCATAAGGTATTTCTCATAGTATTATGTAAATAGGAAAAAAGAATCCTATCATTGTCGCTAAATGTTAATATGCAATCCTGTCAAATTGTGATTATTAAACAGGGTATTTGAGTGGTGATTCTTTTAAGTTTACATAGTAAATCTCAATATAGTTTAACTTAAACTTTATGATTTACATGTCAGTATATGCTCAATAATACTAAAGTACTAAAAGTAGGATAATTCAATTGATTCAAAGTTATAACAATATATTTATTAATGATAAGTAATAAGAAATAAAGAAAAGAAGTAAGAAAATAAGAAAGGAAATAAAGAACTAAAAGACTAGAAGTACTAAATGTGAGAATTAGACCAGGAGCCTCTAAAAGTGCTACTAAAAGTGTATCTAAAAGTAAAACTAAAAGGAAACTAAAAGTGAACTAGAAGCAAACTAAAGTTTACATAATTTTATCGTTTTCTATTTATATTAAATTTAATATATGAATAGATATAACAAATAAATCAAATATATCTAATATATTAAATATATCTAATATATCCTACGTATCTAATATATCAGTTATATCAAATTTATCAAAATTATTCTATAAATCAAATATGTTCGATATGTTTGACATTTAGATCTGCAATCTTTTGTGTTACATTTATTAATCCAATTCAGTTACAATACTAGTAAAATATATTAAAAATTATTATACTCTAATATTAGTAAATAAGTTTTAGATTTATGCAGTATTAAGTTTTAAATACATTTTTTAATTTTAAATATTTTAAATAAAATATAGAAAAATGTATTTATAATCTATTTATAATCTGTTTAAACCAGTTTAAAATTATTCAAAATTTTCTAATTTTCTAACATCTATTTATAAAGCAATGTTAATATTATTTAATTTATAAATCATTTAAATATTATGATATATTAGTAACTTGAAATATAAATGAGAATAATTTATTATTTAATTCTAATTCTTTATCTAAAAAAAAATAATATTTATCATAAAAAGTAAAATAGAAATTAAAATTTAATAATAAATTTGAAAATAATTTATGAGTAAATTTATTCATTGCAGATATAATATCATTGCCTCCTTTTTGTTACTTGTGTCATATCCCCTTCCTTTTTCATTTTTCATATATATTCTGAGGATTTAGAAATTTTTTCATGTGTGAAATCCTATTTGTCATGTATGTTAGTATCACATGGCTTACTCATAATTTATTATTAGATGATTTAGAATTTAATAAATATAATAAAAAAGAACTACCAAATTATAAAAATCATATATATATAATCATTTCTAAAATAAAAATAAATTATCAATGTTTTATATTTGAGATATACATTTTTTACCTTTAAAAATGTAAGATGAATACAATATTTAGGAGTATTATAATCAATTGGTTATAGTAAATATTAAAATTATATTTATTATAAATTTAAAATAATTATAATATAAAATTAAATATAAGTTATTAAATTGCAATCTGTTGTAAATTAACATTTATGTCTATTTTTAATACAAATTACTAAATTATAAATTGATATTATTAACTAAAATTAAAAAGGTTTATAAAATATAATAAAATAATTAGCAAATAATTAAATAATTTGAATAATCACGCAATATTGTTAACTTTAACGTCGAAAAAAGTCTTGTAAAGCAATACCCCTGCATGTTTATTACAAAAGCGCATATATATTTTTAACGCGTTTTTAAAGAAAACAAAATAAGATATTTCTTACTCATTAAAAAAAAAAAAATAATTATTATCCCATTTGTTTTCATATTACAAGAAGAAAAATATATAATAATAATAAACAATTATGGAAGAATAAAATTTCGAATCAATAAAAAAAGAAAAAAAAAAATTTGCTTGCGTAATAAAATATGTATATATTATATATAAATTTCATAAAAAAGAAAAAAGAAAAAAAAAATATTTTTATCCCAAAAATGTCCTTTACAAAATTTGAAAAAAAATGGGTGAATAGAAGCTTTACATAAAAATGCTACAAAATATCCAACAAAACATCAAATCCTTTTCAAGACTTAAGAGAAAAGTTCCACCATTACACTATTAACTATATCACAGATTATATATATATGACTTACAAACAATTTATAAATTTATTATGAATTTTCGCATTTTCAGACTTTTATTTCTAAGACGATAATAACTTACAATGTCAACCAATTAGAACATTGCGGATTTTCTTCTATCGGCAGCCGACTTGCTTCTTCTCTCAGCAGCAGCAGCATAAAGCTTGTTAACAGCCTTACGACGAATGCGCGTGGCAAAATTTTTGGCCATATCTGGGCCTTTGGGCTGACGAATAGGTAAAACCGCATCAGGATGCACCTTCATTGGACCTCCAAAAACACTAAAAATCCGAGAAAAAAATTTGATTTAATGAACTCCCGCTTAACAAGCGAATTTCTTAGTCATAACTAACGCATTGATTTATTTAAAAAAAAAAAAAAAAATCCTTTGAAATTTTATTTACCTTCTACGTCTTTCTTCTTTTGCAATTGAGGGAACCGTATTAGAACGCTGTTGATGCGATACTCCAGTTGGTGTTTGTGGAGGAATATATTCTTGTGGAAGATCATAGTAATAATAGCAATAAGAACTTTCATCAGCTTCCTCTTCATATGTCATGGGGTAGTAGTCATAATAATCGGTTCCAGTATAACCATCGGAAGGTAAAGGTCCTGGGGTTGGTGGAGAAGATCCTTGAGAATCAGAATCATCAGGATGACTAAGAACAACTACAGGAGTTCCTTGGTTTAATTCAACTTGACGATAATTTGCAGCGACAAATCGAAGTGGAGCAGGACTTGCACTATAACGCCTAAATCTAGCTTGTTGTTCTACAGCTTGAAGATAAGCTGCTTGTTCACCTAAATATACGTATGCTTGTTGGGGAATTGTAGCTGATTGTGGTGGTCTTATAGTCTGCCTGACGTCTTTAGAAAATCCAGAGGATGATTTTGCAAAGGTCGCTGTTTTGGGAGGATTAGGAAGGTTTAATGCTCTATTCACTTTTGGTGGAAAAGTAGCCGTTTGAGGAACTCTTCCCAAATTATTATGAACTTGAGGTGAAGACTTTGACAAGTTAAGTGGCTTTGGGGTGGGTCTAGAAGAACTGGCCGTTTTTTGTTGTTGCTGTTGTTGTTTGTTGGATGCAGTAGTAACAACATTTGAAGAATTCTGAACATTACCGACGTTATTTGTCTTTGGAGGACTTCTAGACAAGTTATAGGTATGTGGAGGAGACTTTGAAATAAATATATTATGAGGTGGCGAAGTCCTGTTATTCATATTCGACATTTGAGGTGAAGACCTCATTTGTTGCTGTTGTCTTTGTTCGTTTTTGACAAATGTTGCAGACTTCGGTTGCATTACATACATTTGTTGTTGTTGACTTTGCCTTGGAAATTGAGCTGTCTTTGGCGTTCTAATAGGTGTTGCTCCTTGTTGCATATTATTATTATTATTATTATTATTATTATATACGTTTCTGGAAACAGTACCCATATTCTGAGCACGTTCCACGTTGATTGACTTCAAGTTTACAGGTCTAGATTTGTTACTACTATTATCCCTACGTTTACCCTGGTCACCGTTTGAGCTGTTATTCCTCCAGGATTGTCTTGTTGGATCTTGGTTGGACGGTTGATGTTGAACTTGCACACCGCCGGCGTCCAATATTTGCATGATTATTTTTACAGGAAAATGTGTATTTTTTTAAAAGTAGTTCTTTATAAATTAAAGAAAATAAAATAGAAAAAATAAAAAAAGGTTGTTTTATTTATTTGTTTTATAAGGTCGTTCTTTTGCTTTTAGTTATTTGCAAAATAATAATAATTACAGTGTACCGTGCGAATATAATATAAAAAAATACAAAGCGAGAAGACGAAAATATAAAGTCCAAGAGTAATTTGTAAATGAACAAAAAGAGAAGTTTTCTTTTGAACGGGAAAACGAGTGACTGGGTACCTATAACGATGCAGGACCAGCCAGTGGCCCACTTGTCCCAAGAGTGATGCGAGGGAAAGTAAAATTCTTGGAGAAGCAAAGATATACTTTTCGACCACTACCTGTGCTATTTTTGACGATTTTGGGGATTAGGGGTAAAAAAAGATTACAAATGTGATTTGAGGTTACATGTGGTATAATCGAGGCGTGATATAATATATTGCAGATTGCATGTTTTTGGTAATTTTGGGTGATGGCTGCGGTAAGCGGAACTAAGCGCACTGTTTATGGATTTAGGGCGGAGCGGAAGTGGCGCTAAATTGTTTTATAATTTTGGTAAAAACTTGAAGTGAAATAAGAAATTCGTGTAAGCCCACAAATCTTTAACTGGTTGTGAATAATCGTTTCGTTTTAATATGATAAAA